CTGTAGATGCTTCTTAGCAGTAAGAACACACAGTGCGAACACAAAATACAAGGAATGACTAAGATAGAAATGATAGTGTAGTAACGTTAACTTTTTCAACTCAGAACAAATGAACAATTTAAACTTCAGAAATACCACAAGATAGATATCAATTTTATCAACAGCAAGACTATCGCTTGCACTTTTAAAACAGCTCAGTCACTACCGCATATAATATAATGATCTTATAGCAACGTTTTCCTCGTCCAGAAAGGGAAATACCATTTGCACCGCATGGCTGACGCATGGGTCTATCACTAAAGTGGGAATTTCATCTAAAACTCTGAGCTGTAGATGATTCTTCACAAAATACAAGGAATGCCTGAGATAGAAATGACAGTGTAGTAACGTTAACTTTTTCAACTCAGAACAAATGAACAATTTAAACTTCAGAAATACCACAAGATAGATATCAATTTTATCAACAGCAAGACTATCACTAGCACTTTTAAAACAGTTCAGTCACTACCGCATATAATATAATGCTCTTATAGCAACGTTTTCCTCGTCCATTAGAAAGGGAAATACCATTTGCCCCGCATGACTGACGCATGGGTCTATCACTGAAGTAGGAATTTCATCTAAAACTGTGAGCTATAGATGCTTCTTAGCAGTAAGAACACACTGTGCGAGGTTACTGCGAACAGGAATGACTGAGCTAGAAATGATAGTGTAGTAACGTTAACTTTTTCAACTCAGAACATATGAACAATTTAAACTTCAGAAATACCACAAGATAGATATCAATTTCATCAACAGCAATTGCTATCACTAGCACTTTTAAAACAGCTCAGTCACTAGCGCATATAATATAATGCTCTTATAGCAACGTTTTCCTCGTCCAGAAAGGGAAATACCATTAGCCCCACATGACTGACACACGAGTCTATCACTAAAGTGGGAATCTCATCTAAAACTGTGAGCTGTAGATGCTTCTTAGCAGTAAGAACACACAGTGCGAACACAAAAT